CAGTACTTGAATACTTCCTCTGCCCTTATTTGTTTACTTTTAAGTCGTTTTCTATTTTAAATTAAATTTTGATTTGTGAGGTTAATGGTAAGATTAAAAGCTTTTTATGTGACAATAAATTATGATCCTTTGTAAATCCTTACCGTATATGTACTCTTAAGTTCGTATGATATGAGTATTGGACGTCTGCTAGAAACGACCAAAGAAATTAGGGTAATTAAGTTTGTATAATATGAGTATTTAAAAGAAAAGTCAAATCAATACTTGAATACTTCCTATGCCCTTATTTGCTTACTTTTAAGTCATTTTCTACTCTAAATTAAATTTTGATTTGTGAGGTTAATGGTAAGATTAAAAGCTTTTTATGTGACAATAAATTATGATCCTTTGCAAATCCTTAACGCATATATACTCTGTAAGTTCGTATGATATGAGTATTGGACGATCTCTTAGAGACGACCAAAGAAATAAGGGTAATTAAGTCCGTATAATATGAGTATTTGAAAGAAAGGTCAAATCAATACTTGAATACTTCTTCTGCCCTTATTTGCTTAATTTTAAGTCGTTTTCTACTTTAAATTAAATTTTGATTTGTGAGATATATGGTAAGATTAAAAGCCTTTTATGTGACAATAAATTATGATCCTTCGTAAATTCCTTACCGCATATATACTCTGTAAGTTCGTATGATATGAGTATTGGACGATCTTTTAGAGACGACCAAAGAAATGAGGGTAATTAAGTCCGTATAATATGAGTATTGGACAATCTTGTAGAGACAAACGAAGAAATTAGGGTAATTGAAAGGAAAATACATGACAAATCACGATGAGATTAAGGCCCTGTTCTTTTGAGTTTTTATGGTCTGATCTGATATATTTTGCTCTGATCTGCTCAAAAGAAATCGAGCCTAATTATGTCAGATATTTGGGTGATCTTGGGGCGTGTATATGATCAGTATTTTATGCATTTATACTTTATTACATTTTTATATTCTGCATGTATAGAAGGTTAAAATAGTGATTTACGCACGTGATGCCAAAAGGGCGTGCTCATCACTTGCCACTTTATTTCACTAGTTGATTGTTCTATGATACTCCTATTTTATTTTCTGATTCCTACTGACAATATTAACATGACCCTTTGCCCTTTGGGTTATTTTATTCTTTGGTTTGGATAATGATTAATGATACGGCGTATTCCGTATTTGGTTTGGTTGACCTTGACTAAGCTAAATACTTCGTACAAAGATTAGTCGCATATTAAAATTTGAAGGATAATGCTATATGTAATCCTTAGCATTTAATATACTTTTTTTTAGTGTTAATTTGGAAATTTATCGACAATTCACAAGTAAATTAGTGTAATAAATATTTATTTATTATCAATTATTTTCACTTTTAGCTTTTTATATGCAGCCCTTAGGGCTGCATATATCTTTTTCCAAATTTGAATATGTAGTCATAATAATGACTAAACAATTGGTTTAATGAAAAAGTTTACGCCTCACAATTGAGATTGTGCAATCAAACCTCGGTGAAAGAGACTTTAAGGCTATGTTCAGTTCACGTGATCTAATATGATTCGATTTGTTCTTATAAGTTTTAAAGTTGATTAAATTTTAACTTAATTTGTACACTTATTTGTATTGTAGATTCTTATTATTCTTATAAGTTTTAAAGTTGATCAAATTTTAACTTAATTTGTACACTTATTTGTATTGTAAAAAAGTTATCAAAAGAGATATCATTAGATTCGTATTAATATGCATTATCGGAACACAAATTCTTATTGCCAGGCATCACGTGGGTTAGTTTGTTAGTGTTATAGGAATTACTCGGTCAATGTTATAGGGGTTATTCGATTAGTATTACAGGGGCTACTTTGTTCTTTTATAAGCAGCCACATGGTGTGACCGGCCGCACACAAAATGTGTTGCTATCGAAATATGAATTTTTCATTATTTTTTAAATCATGAAATTAAATATATTCGATGATAAATAAACGCAAATAGAAAGATAATATCTAATCTATTTTGATATGGTATGATCTGATATGATCATTTATGAAATAAGTTGAACTAAACATATATAACCTTTATCATTTCCTCCACTTTCAAGTGGTCTAATTCAATTCACCAACCTAAGTCTGGATGACAAGTGAAATATGTTGGCTTGGTAAAGTCTTTATCCTTAATTACCAATAAATATAACCCCCCTTGTTTTTTTGCAGAAAGAGCCGCAAGGATAATTGATTTAAAAGGAATTTGATTCCGACTAATCATGAATACCGCCTTTAAAAACTGTAACCAATTAAGCTAATTCACCATCCACACTCCTCCACTTATATTCATGCCATGTCTTGCCTTTTCAAGTCTCCCTCAAATAAGCAATATAATCAATAAAAGCTTTGGACTTGTAACATTTGAGCTTAAACATTAACGGTTTAAACATTGGTTTATTAATCTTGTATAAAATTTTTTTAAGTGATTGTAATGTTCTTATCCAACAATGACATTAATCATTTATCTACTGTGTATTCATAATGTTCATATCTATTATGACTAATATGAGCATAGGCCTGTTTTATTTACCTTATTACTCGTACTACCCTAGCATTATCCTTCGTCTTAACATTATCATTCATTCTCCTTTTATTCCCCAGGAAACAAGAATCTCAGTATGATCATTGGTCTAAGAATACTTGGATTATTATTTGCAATTCCTCCATATATCCAAAATTTACAACTATAGCGAATGGTTGCACTCGTGCACACAAGGCAATACAATAATTGAATAGTCATTTTCATTTTCTTTCTCTTTAAAATTTCGTGGGATTGGCATAGATAATATCACTCCTACAGTCCTACTACCCTAACATTATTAGATCTGAATCCTGCTTTATCCCAAACAGTCATTACTTTGTCCAATACTTGTGAGAACTAAGAGCATGTACAATGGTGGAGATTCATGAATCCCTTAATTCTTCTCTCTCATTCTCTCCTTTTGACACATCATTTCTCTTTCTTCCACATCATTTTCCACTATCTCCATCCTCTTCCTCTTCCTCTTTCTTTATTTTTTCCCACAACAAAGGGGATTCATGAATCCCCTTCCTTTCTATTTTTATGCCCCACCATCTTGTATTAAATTTGATATTTGCAAATTTAATATGACAAATTATTATAATTAGATTAATGACAATGTTAATATATTACAAAAATGTACAATTAATGATAATTTAAAATGCGTAATTAGTAAATAGAACGGTCGTCACACATATAATAAATAGTTAGAAAGGAAAATTGCAATACATTATGTAAAAAGATTTTGAAAATATGACAAATTTAGGTTCATTTTATAGAGAAAAAAAAAATAACCGTTGGTGTTTTTTTTTAAAAATAAGTTACCGTTTATTTTTACCGTTTGAATAATTTTAACCGTTGTAAATGTCAACCAATTACAAAAAAACAAATGTCAGCAAAAGCAAGCAACACTGGGCCCCTGCTAGCCCGGCCAGCAAGCAGGAAGTTGTCACGTCGCTCTTGCTTGTCCCCTTCCCCACCTTTTCCAATCCCCTTCCCCATCTCTTCTTCCTCTTCCCAAAGAGGATTTACCATATTCCTCTTCCTAAGAGGACTCCCCATTTCACCTCTACAACGAAAGGGATATCTCTTAAGAGGAGAGAGAAGGCTAAGAGGAGGGTGAATCCCCTCCATTGCACATGCTCTAATACCCACATACTTCACAAAATTACTAGAGACAGAAATTAATAAAGGATCAAAGCCTTAAAGGATCATTAGTTCAACAAAGTCCTTAATTCGGTTTCTAAACATCTTACACTCTATTATCGTTATTTTAGTTCTTTTGGTACGGATGTGAACTAAGGACTTATTTTCTTCACTTGAAACAAGGAGATCTGGTCTGATTTTTGAAAGGTCTGATCTGATTTAATAATTTGACTAAATTTTGACTGCATTTTAATACTAATCTATAAAGAAAAACATTATCAAAATTAATTTTGTTAGATTCGTCTCATTATGAACTTTTCAAATACGTAATTTTCATAATTTTTTGTAATATGCAATTAACGATATTTAGCAATAAGTAGATGATAATTAAAAGTTCTTATCTGGTCTGATCTAAATGTTTTTGGTATGGTCTGATCCGATTTGAATTTATTAAGGAATAAGTAATAAGTATCTGAAATAAGTTGAAGAGAACATGTCCTAACTTAATTGGTTAAGTCTTAGGCGTTTTATATTTAGAGAGTAAAGACTTGAGATTTGAAACTATATCTATACTGGCCATTGTCATTTACTCATTTGGTGTTCTCTATACGCACAAAAAAAATATGTTTATGGAACATTTCTACGGAGTAATTAATAGTGTGAACACCTTATACAGAGACAACAAAGTACGTATTTAATTTAGTACAAAGTACTTATTGTGTTTTGGAGAAAGGCAAATTAGAATTTGATTTAAAATTTGAATTCAATTAATTGAAATTTGTGTACATCATCATTAAGAGGAGAGTCCAAGTAGCGTTTTATTCAAGCTAACTAAATAACTCCATACAAGATTACAAGCTAGCAAGTAGCAAGATATTATTAGACATATGTTGGAATAAGATGGTCTCATTTCATGGGACAAATATCTCAACGGCTAAGGCTTACGCCAACATTGTGGATGGACACCAAAGTCCATTTCTTAATTTATATTTTCCCCTAAATAAAATATCCAATATAATTTTAAAATAATCAGAAAACGTTCAAATATTAATTAAATCCCTAAAATTGTGGCGTAAATGTAAGAGTTTTGAACCCAAGCACATGTAGAAGATGCAGTTAGAAAGATTTTGACCTCATAACATCAAAGTTACAAGTTGAATTTACAACTACTATTACAAACATTTCAAACCTTACTCAACTCAATAAATGATCACGCTAGATGACACAACTCAATTAATAATCATCAATATCTTTATAATTAATGAAATATATAACATAATTATATCATACCATATACTCGTCTCATACAAGAATTACATAGTCAAAATTAAAAAATGTCTCTCCAAAAAATCCTCTTTTTATCCCATGGTACGCACGTATTGCACAAAAATGTGTTTCAAAAGACAAAAGTTGTCTTAGAAGTAAAAGAAAAAAAAAATAAAAAAAAAGAAGAAAACCCAACACAACAAAACACTACACTAGTACACTACACTACCCAACTCAAAAAGAAAAAGAAAAAGAAAAGAAAAAGTTGCAATTTTTTTACTCTCCCAAGGCTGCAACAGCAGATAGCATAGCATTAGCACTGCTTGCTGCCAAAAGTTGTGGTTCTTACATTTTTATTATTTTTTTAATTACTCTAAAATAATTTATTTTTTGACATTTAATTAATAAAAATAATTTTAAAATGACTAAACTCTCAATCTCTCTCCCCCATAAAACATCTTCACCATTTTACCAGAAATCTCTCAACTTCATTTATTTGCTTAATTTATGATTTTATATAGTTTCCCTCTATTTTCCTTAATTGATTTGGTACAAACTATAATTAAATTAAATTTTAAAAAGTCAAATAAATAAGTAAAATTTCAAAAAAATAAAAATTTACTTACCCTTATCATAATTACTACCTTTTTTATCTAACAAACTTGCTTCAATTCATTACATTTTCCATCTTCTTCTTCCATAAATTCAAACCCATCTCTTCCTCTTCCCTTTCTCTTCTTCTTCCTTCCCCATTTTCTCTCTCCTCAAATTTAAAAAAAAATAAAAAAAGAAATCACAATTTGGGTTAAAGTTTCTCTCTCTACTGGGCTTCAATGGAGTCATATGAAGCAACAAGAGCAGTATTTTCAATGGTACAAAGCATAGATCCAGAAAACGCTTCAAAGATTATGGGTTACATACTGATACACCACACTGAGAAAGACATGATTCGCTTTGCTCATGGATCAGAATCACTCATTTTTTCTATACTTAACAGAGCTAAAAATGACTTAGGACTTTTATCGAACACTTCATCTGCATCACCTTCAATGGCTAATTCTTCCCATGCTTCTCACCCTATTACCATTTCTAGACCTAACCCACTTTCTCTCTCTCTTCCTTCTCCAAGACTACCCAACAATGGGTTCAACCCTTCTTCCCCTTCTTCTCCTTCTGTTTGGGCCCACCACCATTCTTTAAGCCCTAATTCGCTCTCCTACGCTGCTGTTGTCAATGGAAGCTGTAATAATAATAACAATACTAATGGGTCTTTTTCATCTTCTTCTGCAATTGGGTCTCCTCAAATTGGGTTTTCTGCAAAAAATGAGGGTAATTTTTTGGATGACTACCAATTACAGGAACAAAATCTGGGTTTTTTGAACGACCCTTTTTCGAAAAATGTGGAGTTTTTTGAGCAAGTACCTTCTTCCATTGATTTAGCAGTGAGCCCAGGTTGTAGAAGTGATTCAATGGGTGCTTACCCTTTCTGGGAAAACTCTTCTTCCGCAAGTAGCGCGGACAATAGCGCGCATTTTCATCGAAGAAGCGCGTCTTTCAATGATTGTTACTATGGAACTGATGATTCTACTTCTGGGTTTGGTTTTAAACCTTGTCTTTACTATTCTAGAGGCTTCTGTAAGAATGGTAACGCCTGTAAGTTTGTTCACGCCGGCGGTTGCGGCGGCGCCGGCGGTGGTGGGTTCTCGGATTCCGGTGATGATTCCGGCCCAATTGTCGGTTCTCCTTGTAGCAAATACGACGCGTTTGAGCAGTGTCAAGAAGAGATTTTTAGGTCTAAACTTGCTCAGCAACAAAGATTAGCTGCTCAGTTAATGTCTGGTGGTATGAATTTACCTTATAATAAGCTGAATTTCCTTCAAACTGAAGCTCAAAGGTGACTATATTTTAATGCATTTTGTTTTAATTTTTTTGTTTATTATATGGTGTTACATGTGTAATATATGATTGGGTTAATGGGGGTAATTATAATGTCATGTTGTAGATCTGCAGCAGCTGCATTGATGATGGGTGAAGAGTTTCATAAGTTGCACGGCCGTGTTAGGATGTCAAGAAATGATTTTGCTGGGATGTATTCTAACCCTGGTTCAAGACAGATTTACTTGACATTTCCTGCTGACAGCACTTTCAAAGAAGAGGATGTTTCTAGTTATTTCAAGTAAGATTTTTATTTGAATGACATTTTTAGATGTTTAATTTTGCAATGATTAGCTATAATTTTATGTAAAATGTAGTAAAATTAAAACAAAAAAATTGTTGTTTTTTGGTGGTGTGTTTGAAGCTTATATGGACCAGTCCAAGATGTGAGGATTCCATATCAACAGAAGAGAATGTTTGGGTTTGTTACATTTGTCTATCCTGAAACTGTGAAGCTTATATTAGCTAAAGGAAACCCTCATTTTGTCTGTGATTCTCGTGTTCTTGTTAAGCCTTACAAGGAGAAGAGCAAACTTCCTGACAAGTAATTCTCTAACCTGAAACCTGTAAATGTTTTGTTTCATGGTTATCGTCGCTGAAAGCATGGGTGTTTAATCGAATGTCATTGTTTGTTTGCTTGTTTGTAGGAAGCAACATCAGCAACAGATGGAAAGGGGAGATTTTTCGTCGTGTTCGAGCCCGTCTGGGCATGATTGTAGAGATCCTTATGAGTTTCAGCTTGGTGAGTTATTCATTCAAGCTGTTGATATAGCTTTGAGCCTTTGATTGTGGTTTAATGGCAATGTAGCTTAGTTATTTGTTTGTTTTATGAATAGGAGGAAGAATGTTGTACAGCACTCAGGAGATGTTACTTAGGAAGAAGTTAGAGGAGCAAGCTGATTTTCAGCAAGCTCTTGAATTTCAAGAAAGAAGGCTGATGAACTTGCAACTGTTGGACTTGAAGAATCAGCAGCACCAGCACAATGCATCAGTTGGTTCTCCCATGTCCTCGCCGCATTTTGCCCCGGCTCCCTCAAATCAAACTGTTCCGCCTCCGTCGAATGGGATCAGTCATGATGGTTCTGAAGGTTGTTACTTAATCCATTATTCACTAATTTTGTAATATTAGCAATCCATGGGTAGTTGGTTTCTTCTTACTACGTAATTTGTTCGAGTTTTGACGCTATTTGTGTGACATAATGTAGAGAATAACAGTCCAACTGGGGCATCTGATGAGCAACTAGCTGAGGGTGGAGGAGTCAATGCTGCTCTGAGTGATTGTAATGGCAATGGGCAAAATAAGGAGGATAATAGACCTAAAAATGAAGAAAATGAGCTGGCTGAAAGGTATATAAAAAAAAAAGTCATGATAATTTATTCAAAAAGTCCATAATGTTGCCTATATTTGGCCAATAGCACATTCGTGCAAATATTTTTCCTGAATTTTCATCATCACATGGCTATTATTATTATTACTACTAACCCTTTTAGCATTATCATGAAATGCAGTGGCTTAGAGCACATCCTTCCTGACAACCTCTTTGCTTCTCCTAAGAAATCTGTCTCGGAGCACCGATCATCGGTTTTCCTGCCGGAGTTTGATAATGGCGGTGTTACTGCTACGGCCGGTTCATCTACTGCCAGCTGTGACACCTCGATGCCTGCCTCTTCTCCTCTCGGCTTGGCTCCGCATAAATCTTGTTACTTCGAGATGCCTAGGTATATGCTTAGTTTAGATGTTGTGGTCCAAATGACACTCAAGTGTTCATTCTTCTTTCGTGTCCCTAATCCTTGGTTAATTTTTTCAGGCTTTCGCCCGGGCAAGGAGCTCTAGGAATGTAGTTTTCAAGTTCAGCCGTGGACAGCAACTTGGGGATTTTCCTTTATTGTAAGGATCTAAATACATAACTCATACGTATATTACTTGTCGAACCTCTAGGAATTCAAATCAAATTGTAGTGTTTAAGTGACAAGGAACTAAGGAAGTAATGACTTAATGACTAGTAGTATATCCAAGGACTAGACAAAATAATTTGGTTAAAAAAGTTGATTAGACACCATTCTATGTTCGTTGTTAACACATAATTTTACTAAAACACCCTCGACAATAGCTTCTTTTGTCCACCCCCGATGGACAGGCTAGTAATTTTGTCGTAATCTTTCTAATTGAGGGCTATTAGGAGTAACATCATAAACATCATTTTCATAGATGAATTTTCACATAACAATAATATGTTTTGTAATATTTGTTGTTTCTTGTCCATGCAGAAAAGTTTGACGAATGAATATGCAAAAGATAGGAAGGCAAGAGATGGGAGGGAAAATCCCCAAAGTTGTACAGCCAAAAACACCCAACCCATACCCAACCCAACAACCATCAAAAGGAAATTAAAGTAGGAAGGTCTTCTCAGAGATCACTATCATCCTTATCATCATCATTATGATCATCAAAATACATATAATAGTTTTTTTTTTCCTTAAATATTTTGTTTTACAAGAAAATAGATAAATGAATACTTAGGGGTACAGATAGACTGATTTTATGAGAGTGGGGGGTCTTTCATGACTTTTGTACCCTCTCTGTAGGTGTGTACTGGTACTGGACCACACAAAGATAAGCAGCAACCAAAAAAAAAAAAAAAAAAAAAAAAGGAGCTAGTTATTTTACTAGTTTATGATCTAAAAGAAAAGGGATAAGTTTGTTAGTGGTAACTTTTTGTTGATTATACTACTAGTTTATATCATGATATATAATAGAATTTCTACCTTTTCTTGTTCTTCTACTACTCATACTCTCTTTATTTTTCGCATTTATTTGAGTTTTATAACAGTTAGGCAATTAACAGGGAGGTGAATATCGATAATTCTAGTGTTTGCTTATCAAGGATAACATTTCGCCCTCTGTTAGATGTCTAACTAGTTGCGAGTAATCATTTTACTTGGAATAGTTCTATCTAATACGGAGGAAGTATCAGAAGCTGAAAGCAAGTCTTTTTTAGGTAGGGGAGTATAACTACTATACTGATATAGATACTCATGAAAGGTGACTCAAGTAGAGAAGAAAAGCTGTTTTTCTCAGTTACTCCTTTTTACTTTTTTATTTTTATTATATTTGTTTAGTTATAAATTTTTAAATTTTTTTTGTCATGTTAATATATTATTAATATTCTCTGTAGTGTAGTGTAACCCACTTAAAAGTTGGAACTTTGGGAGTGAAGAAGAGAATTTCAGAAAAAGGAAAAAAAAAGTGGAAACTTTAAAAACAGAATTAATACTAAAAAAATTACTAAAAAAAAATGAATAAAAATTCCTTACTTTTTTGAAATTCTTTTGGGTATAAAGAAAAAGGTGAGTTCTTTTTATGTGAAATTATAAAAAGGCAAAAACTTAAAGAGAGAGAAAGAAAATAGAGGGAAGAGAGAGAGAGAAAGAAAGAAGGGGACTCTTTTGTCTCATTTTGTGGTTTCTTTTAGTTGGACATGAAATGAGGTGGGTCCTACATTGTCACATGGGTGCTGACACATTTTATTATGAATGGGTGGTATTTTTGCATTTGCAGAGTTTTTTGAGTGAGAAAGATGAGTGTGCTCTTATATTTTTACTCCTTTCACTTTCTCAAGTTTTTTTTAACCTTATTTGACTAAATTATTTTATACTTAATTCATTTTGGGTGTTTAAAGAAATTGTGCTCATTTGGAATCTGTTTATTTTTGTCATATAGTTTTGGATAATTTGGATAATTTTTCTCTTGTAATATAGGGGTAAAAAGGTAATTGTAGGTGAATGAGAAATAAATATTTCCTTCGTTACATATTATGTCTTACAAATAATACCTAACAAATTCCAAAGCTTAAATTAATAATTAATATGTAACAGAAGAAAAAATAAAAAAATGTAGAGGGTAAAAAGGTAATCTAGGTGAGTGGTGGATTTGTCCTTGTTTTTTGGTTGCATATGGTATGGTGTATGGGTAATGGTGCACACTATCCAATTCCCTTGTGTCAAGGTGTTGTGTTTTTATAGGTGTAATTTATCAATTGGTTTAATAATTTTTACTGTTTATGAAATTATTGATGCCATGCTATTGCCCTGTTTTTTTTTTTTTCACTGTAAACAGTAATAAATAAAAGAGGGTCTTGAAAGTTGGAGAGGACTGAGTCAGAGACTTTTTATTTACCAAGGTTTGTATTTGAATTTTTATTGATTAGTCTCACTCTTAAATGGTGCTTTTATCTGCCCCAAAAAAGCTAAGTTTTTCTCTGTTTCTGTTTCATTTTCATGCTCTTGTTCCTAGACCATTTATTACTAATGACCCATTTTGGACCCTTTTTTTAAAATTTAGTTTGTGATTTTACCTTCTCTTTTGGTTGGTGGGATGGTATATTCTAGTAAATGGGGTTAATTTTCTAGGTGTGTTTGGAAATGTGTTTCTAGGTAATGTGTGCATCATTTATGGATGAATCAAAAGAGTGGGTTTTGGTCTCGGCTTAACTTAGACCATACATACGAGGATTGTTGTCATATTATGTGAAAGTATTTAATGTGAGCGAATTAAATGCGACGACACAATATAAGCAAGTTATATGGGTGAAGTCTAATGGCTAATGTTATAGGTTGTCTATAATGGAAATGAGCTATTTGGTTTGGTTTAGAAATGATAAAATTTTAGATGTAGAGGGTGTTAGTACTTAGTACGAGTTCCTCGGATCCCTTCTCAAAGTGGTGGATCTCAAATCACTTTCAAATCTACTTTTTTGATTCTATTCTATATGCTTAATAGAAATTCCAACTTTACTACCCTTTTTTTTTTAGGTAAATTTTTTTTTTAGTTGAAAAATATGAAAAAAAGAAAAGAAAAGGCTATTGCCTTGTTACCTCGTGTACAAGTTTCTTCATTATTGGGTACGGAAATAGTGTCTTTATTATTATTATTATTATTATTATTATTATTATTATTATTATTATTATTATTATTATTATTATTATTATTATTATTTATTTACTTATGATATCATGGTAGTAATTAGTAAAGCTTCGTGTTACCTTAGATTCTTCTCTTTCTCTCAGCTTAAGTGAATGCCTCGTGCGTAACTTTGGGGTGTTGTAAAAGGCAATTATCTTTATTTATTCTTGCTAAGTATACTAAAATGTTGCGTAAACTATGTATTTTTTTTTATTTCAATTCTCCGCATTCCTAAGCAAAGCGTGAGTTTTGCTCAGTTTAGCTAACTAGGGATTTCTTGGCCGGGACGTCGCGTCTTATCTCTTTCTTTGTTCTAAAGAATACTCCTATTGTTCTATAATACATTAATACGGAGTAGTTTTCATGCTTAGAGAATGATAAAAATTGGAAAACTATAATTATTACGGAGTATGATATGGATATGGTATTTCTAGCTACATTAGTTAATTGTTTATAATTACTTTGCGGCGAAGAAAGTAATGTTAAGGGATTTGTTGATCAAGTAATTAAGCTCCCATGGAAGATTTTTTGCTTTTTAGGTTAAGCAACATTAGAAGATCATGTTGGGAAGAAAATGATTGAGAATTTTGGTGTTAGTACATATTTTATACCTCTGAAGGTTAACAAATGCAAATGTGAGACCTCTTTGGAAGTTAGGAATTTAGTACAAACATCACCCATTAAATGTTTCTATTTTCACGTACTTTCACTTTCAAAATTAATCTTGTCCAATGCAAAGTCCAAGTCTATATTTTTAAATCTTTACACCAATCATCATGTTGATGATGATATATCTTATACAAGTATATGTGCTAAGGAGTACTCCGTACATTATTTGTTGGATTTGTAACATTTTATTTGCATAACTTAAGCTATTGATGTAACAAGGGAGTAACATAAGTAGAAGAGAATTTCGAAAGCATAGAAGGTAACGCCTTTGACCAAATAGTTTAGTATACTTACTCGTATGTTCTTGTAATTTGTCATGTATGAATATGCATACGGGCCTATTTCTTTTTTACGTTAGGAATTCTTCTCATGAGGAAGACTTCCTAATGTTATTTTCCTTACCTTTAAAAAAAATTAAAAAATAATAATAATAAAAAAATGAATATGCATACAGCCTAATAATTTTCACATTATTTACACACGAAGTGTATAACATGAACAAATACAAGTCATACTAGTATCATTAATAGTTAGTTGACAATCAAAAAATAGAACAAAAAAAAAAAAAAAAGGTAACAGATTACGTAATTTACAACTAACAGTGAATAGAATAGTGTATGGTGTGTTGTACTAGAGAGTAGTAAGCATATCTTGAAAGGCATAGGTTAGGATGAAAATCAGCAGAGAAGCAGGGTTGGGTTTTGATTGTCGTTGAAGATTTGAAGAGTGAGTGGGTAAAAAAAAAAAACAGAAGATGATGCAACAAAATACCCTCATTTTCTGCTAGTCAAAGGCCGTGCAAATGTGCAATGTGTTACTAAACCATTGGTATTATTGTTTTCTGAATTTTACTTTGCTTTGCCATATCGGACTAGTAAAAATGCGGTCCCTAGACTTTAAACGGATCTTATGGGATCTTGGATAAAAAATAAAGGGTGTTAGGATTTGAACCTCTAACCTCTCAATCAAAATTAATTATTAAGTTTCGATGTGTTTTGGAGTCATGGAGTTATCTATCTATACTAATATATTAAAAGGCGTTTTTAATAACGTTTACGTGTCAAGTAAACTCCTTTTACTATGTCACGTCGCCCACTTAATTACTCATAACACCACACGCAACCTCTAATTCTAGAATTAAGTGTCTTGCCACCAAGCTATGTGATTTTTTATGCAATCTTTTGCATACAAAATATTAGTATGTAGCAAATGATAATATGAACAACAAATTTAATTACAAAAAAATTGAATCATAAATTACAACGTATATTAATGATCAGTTCCATGTAATTATCGGGGCATCGTCCGGGTCCAAAAACTAGTTTAAGTTTAATACGAGTAATTAACTAGCTAGTGCATGTGTGGCCTTGTTCATGAATTAGCTAAGCTTTGTACTTATGTTTTGACAACCTTAGATTGTGGATAGAAGAGGTGCCTTTTAGTATTTTTGAGATTGTAATGGCTGATTTAAGCCTTTTGGTTGATTAATAAAGTTGCTATGATCATTTCCAGTGAAAAAAAAAAAATCGTGTGTGGCCGGCTCTCGGGCATTGCATTGAAATGCTACTTTATAACGTCTGCATTTAAATAGGTAAAACGTTTTGACTTTTTGCATTATACTCTTGTGGCCTTGTGGATACTTGTTGGAATCGTCTCAATTAATAGTTTATTACGAGTAATATTCAATTGTTAAAAGTTTTACTTATTGATAATTAATGATATTATCAGTCAAAGTTTTGTATTGCCATACGTGCACAAGAAAAACGCTTTATTTATTTAAATACGGAGTGAGTATATAATGTTAGAAAAAGGGAATAACTCTCCATTGTTTTGGAATTGTTGATGATTTTCTCTTTATATATATGTGATCTTATATGCATGAGGTTCAGTGTTCAAAACTCGTGTGATGTTTTTTCTCATCGGTAATGACATGGAATAATTGTTGCAATGCTAGTGGTAATGTGGCGTAATGCTAGTTAAATGATGGCATGACACAATGTTAGTGTAAATTTTCGTGACACATAAACGCTTTTAAAACACTTTTTAATATATAAATATAATTCAATTAAATTTATTTAGAGGGGATTACGCCCTAATTGGTCTCCGGGGAAGGTCCCACTTTAATTAGTATAGACT